CAACAACAATCTGGGTCCTCATTTTACCCACCTTGGAAGGATGGAAGGCTGAGTCAACCCTGAGCCGGTGAGATTTGAACCGCTGAACTGCTGATAGGAGTCAGCTGAAGTGGCCTGCACTCTACCCACTGGGCCACCTCGGCTCTCTAGTGCTCATGAAATTCCCTGCTAAATCCCAATTGATGTTCTAGAGCATTTATATTCTAATTTTATCAGAACTCTTCCCATTTATTTTCCTTTGTGGTTTGTATCTGTGAGCCCTGAGCAAAGCCTGAAGCAAAATATACAGGGACATAGAACAAAAAGTTTTCTGATAGTTTTTCAAAACGTTTTTACTAGATAACTTACATAAGAATGCCATACTGTATGCAGAGGAAGCAGTATAAGTACACTATACATTGAATTCTGCTCTAAGAAGTTAGATCTTCCACTTGCACGAATAGGGTTTGATAGCTCGTTCAATAGCTAGAATTCGAATTTAAACTACGCTTTGGGTCAAATAGCAGTTCCAGCTATCCTCTTTCTCCAAATCCGTCTTGTTTGTTAAGATTTTAAGATTGCATTTGACAACTGAGTGCCCTCCAAATAAGCTGGCAATCTAACTACCATTCTGTTTGATAATTCTGGGCAATGCTCTGTAGTCCCAATGGATCTAGGTGCACCAGTTAAGGAAGACTTAACTTTAAAAAGCAAAATGGTTTTGTAATGAGGGAGTAGAATGCATTTAATGAAAATTCTGATCGCCTAAAGTAATAATTGCTAACGGAGAAAGGGTTTACATAATTTTGATGCTTTCAAGAACCACAGGCTTGGAATGTTGGTGAAAAACGTTCGAGCAATAATACTTGATCGAAAACATGATCTGTAGAGAATGGAAACCTGAGCACTTACCATTTCTGTGATTTCAAATGCAAATGAGTGTAGGAGGCGAGGAAGTCTACTTTGAGGAGCTGGGTTTCCCAGGGGCATATCTGCACAGAAATCATTCATATGGGAAGAATGAAAGTGCCTTTAGAGTTGGTCTATTTGCATATATTGGTCCAGGCCAGATTGCTTTGATAAATTGCCACTGCTAAAACAATTTTTTCCCCACCATGCAATGCAACATTGAAGAAATTAAACAAAATGTGGCGCGCGTGGTATTTAAGTTGTCGTATTACTGTCCCAGGTGCTGGGGTTGGAGAACTTGAGGTGATCATCCAAGATCCCACTGGCAAGAAAGGAACAGTTGAGCAGCAATTGGAAGACAAAGGAAATAGCACCTATCGCTGCTCCTACAAGCCCACTTTGGAGGGCACTTACACCATCTACATTACCTTTGGCGGGATTCCCATCCCTCGCAGCCCATACACGGTCACTGTGGGACAAGGTGAGTCTTCTGGGCTTGACGGTGGGCCTTATCTTGTCCTTATTATCACTCACTCTGCTTGGGTTCCTCTTTCTGGCCAGAAGAGGGTAAAGCTCTACTCTATGCTAACCTCTGTCCTCTCCTTTCTGCCTACCTTCTCCTATGCTGGCCAGCTCTCCTCTCTTCTGTCCTCTCTCCTCTGAGGAGCCATCTCCCTGGATCTCTGCTGACCTTCATCTCCTCCCAGCTGCTGCGCGCCTGGACCCAGGGCTCATGGTATTTCACGTGGCAAACGAGGGTGGAGGAAATGTGGCAGAAGTGCATGTCAGTTGCGTCTGTGGGGCAGCCTATAACTTTAAAATCCCATTCCCTTGATTTCACGAGGGTGCCCAACGTATTAATGATGGAAAGAATCTGTATATTTGTGTAGTGGAGTGTTGTCTTGATTCCAGAGAATTGCATCCTACTGAACTCTCGTTTCTCCGTGTTTCTTTTGTTGCTGCTGCTGCTGCAGCATGCAACCCCAGTGCTTGCCGAGCGGTGGGTCGAGGCCTGCAACCCAAGGGGGTCCGAGTAAAAGAGACTGCAGACTTCAAGGTGTACACCAAGGGCGCTGGCAGCGGGGAGCTCAAGGTGACAATCAAAGGCCCAAGTAAGTCCCCTGGATGTATTCTTCACGGTGGTGGGTTTGCATTTTACAAGAAGGGGGTGGGGGGTGGGGTTTGAGGGCAGGGGGTGGGTGGGGTTAGATTTTATATAAACGAACCTATTTGATTTCATCTGATGTCTGGTGTTCAGCTCCTTATTGCACTTTTCCCAGGGTTCAAAGCAGTGGTGGGTTTCAAAAATTGTTGGAACCTACTCT